GTAATGCTTTCACTCCCACACACCATATGACCATTGTGTGCCATATACACCCTATGGCCAATACATACAAAATCTCATACTAGTATACCTATATCTATAGACATAATATTACAATATTTGAAATTATTTCTACTTTTACATGTATAAAATACATTTCACAGTGAAAATATCTACAAATTATATAACTAATGGAAAAGTTAATTCTCTAAATATTAAATACTATTCATTTGCATATACCCGGTAGTCATGCGATCAAATATGGCCACCACTTTCACTGTGCATTATGTCTAAAAAGTTATAAATATGAAATAAAACAAAATATTATTTCTTTTCATATATGTTGTTTATTTGAAAGAGAAACTGATAACTGCCATATATGCATAAGATGTGACATTTACATGTTTTGTCAAAAATGGAAAACAACAAATTTGTTGGCATTAAGGTTGGTAGCAGTGCAAAAATTCACCACAAAACTCGGCATTATGGGAGCAACAGGGTTAAAGATATAGTTAAGGTTTTAGGATTCAAAAGAAGAAGATAAATATTAAATAAATCATTTTTATACATTCAACATAATTTATGCACAGGGATTAGAACTATACCCAGATAGAGTACCGAGATAATGCTTACCTCCATTTTGACAAGGTCCACTGCTGCATTCGTCTATGTTGATCTCACAGAAAATACCTGTGTATCCCGGATTACAATCACATACATATGCATTGATCAGGTCTACACAGTTTCCATTATTCTGACATGGATTACTGGCACATTCGTGAGTTTCAGTCTCACAGTGTAACCCATAGTAACCAGCAGCGCACTCACACTGGTAACCTCCAACAAGGTCAGTGCATGTACCAGCGTGATAACATGGATTACTGGCGCATTCATTGATTTGGTTCTCACATTGGGTACCGAGGAATCCACTAGCGCATTGACATATGAACAAATCCAGCAAGTTTGTGCATGTCCCACCGTTCATACACGGGTTACTTGCACACTCATCAATTTCAACATCACAGTTGACACCCTGATACCCTACGCTACACGTACAAGTATAACCATTGACAAGGTCTACACAGGTAGATCCAGCGCTACAGGGATTGCTGGCACACTCATTGACGTCAATTTGGCATTCAGTACCAACATACCCCACAACACACTGGCACAGGTATCCGTTAATTCCATCTAAACACTGGCCATTATTTTGGCAGGGATTACTACCACATTCATTGATATTAAATTCACACACTAGTCCCAGAAATCCATCGGGACAGATGCACGAAAAGTGGTTGATTTCATCCTGACAAACACCACCATTTTGACAGGGATTACTGGAACACTCGTACAGTTCAGAACCGCAGTTTTCACCAGTGTAACCAGACGGGCAGATACAACCATAACCGTTGATCTGATCCATGCATTCACCACCATTTAAGCAAGCATTGGTAGCGCAATCATCTATATCAGTTTCACAGTTCGTCCCTGCATGGAAACAAACCAATAACAACTTTAATATTTTTGTTATTAAATATACAACAAATATTGATTTTGATGAAAATATGCAGATGGACGACCATATATAACAAATGAAAGGCAAATGAGATACCATATATGAACATACTGCAACTATTACAACCTTGCTGATTGTGAATCTAGATTATTAAGATAAGAAATGAGTGAATGGATACAAACTAACAATGACAATCTTGTTATTGCACTGCTCTCGACTGATAAAGCTTCGCTGTTAGCAATGCACATTTCAATTAATTAGAAGTCTACCTGTAGTACCTATATGTATATTATCAAATCAATCAAACTTGCGGTTTTAACAAGACTTCAACAATATCACACCAAGTATTAAGG